TGGCAACCTGCTCCCAGCCTGAGGGAGTTTCCAAAAGCCATCTCATTAACATACCTTAGGAATGGTTGATGCTAACAAAGACACCATTTTCACCTTTATGGCTCTGGAGCTATTTCATGAACTGGAAACAAAACTACATACTCTAATAAAAGATTTCCCTGTAGCTCTTATATAGAAAATTACACGGGTTTTAGGAGCTGTGTGCCAGGAATAAGGACAAAGACCAAATACATATTTCTTATTATAAATCATAATATCACATTGACAAACAGTATTTTCTCTATTAACTGGGATGCCATCCTCTTAAATTCAGGCAGACTTACAGCTCTTGACCGTCTCTGCAGGCACTTAGAAAGAAATTTTAATACATGAGTTGAAGAAAAAGTATTTATTTGACACCTTTACAAAAATATTTAGGCACATAATTTTCATATTTATGTCACCTGATTTACATATCTCAATCCTCAGTACCTTTTAAAAACACTAAAATGGTCATTTGGTAAATAGAATCTATATTGAAAAAATACTGTGACAGGCCAACATTTGTAGACAAAAATCAGTTGATTATCACCATGAGAAAGAAATGCTTATGAACAAAATAATCTCTAAAAACATCTTTGTGAGACAAAAAAAAAATCTAACCAGTAGATTTCTTTTTAAAAAGTATTTTCAAAAAAGGAAGTTTAAAAAAAACCCATCATAAAATATCTCCTCATACCATGATGAAGTAGCATCCTAACAGTAAGAACTAGAAGGTAGGCTTAGAAAACAGCGATGGTGCCAGAGGTTCACAGATACCAACAACTGACAAGAGCCTGGACGCAGAGGCAGCATGAAGCCAATGCATTTAATTCAGAGATGAGAAGAAATAAAGTCCAACCTACACAGGAGCTACCTTAAGGTAGCAAACTGGGGCAGTTTTAACACAATCACCATTCTGAAGTGTAATTATTTTTCTCTGAGATAGATACTAAATTTTTTTTTAATTTACCAAAATATGAGAGTCATTTCTCTTTTCTTTTTTAAAGAATAGAATCTTTTGTAAAGGTAGAATCACCTGCATCATACAATAGCCCAACTATACCCACTAGATATTTTAAAAAGTTGACCGTGAGCAGAAACTCTTCTTTAACCATTCTAGAAGCAACCAAATTACAGGGTCACATTCAAAAAGAAATACATTGCCCAGGCCTCTAGCATTTAAGGAGCACAAATTAAGACTCTTAATCTTGGCCTACAGTCTAACCCTGAAATCATGACAGTAACATTTGCCGAGTGCCTAATATGCACAAGGCATTGTGCTGAGGAGTTTGCATCCCTTATCTTATTTATTTTGAAGATTATTATTTTTCCCTCAGGGAGAGAAAAATCACTTACAGCCTTGTTCATAGGGAGGAACCAGCAGTACATAGTTATGTGGAAGCAAGAATACATGCAGGAGGGAGCAGAGGGACCCGGGTAGTCACAGAATTCAAATGGCCTGGCTCTCATCTCAGAGCTGGAGGACTAGTATAAGTCCTCTTAGATTAAAAAAGTGCTTCAGTCAACTCCATGGGTGGGACACCCCTAATCACCAGTGCTGACAACGGTGCAGACAGCTTCTACTCATAAATCGCTGACTCCTTTCATCTGCTTCTTTCTCTCAATCAGGGTTTGGCTAAAGAATTATTCATTCCTTATGAGAATGAGAATGAGAACCATGTCCTCTTCACCTGAGCTGCTGCAGAGCTTCGCATAATGCCTGGCATAAGATAGTCAATTTTTGCTTACTGAAAGATGCCATAACAACCAAAATAAAGGGAGGCCTGCCCAAAATCCTGGGTACTACTCCAAAGTAGTCAAAAGTGAAACTCGACTCTTCTCTCCATGAAGATCCTATATCAGCGTTACTGCTGTGAACTTTTCATGCATGGCTGATACAATAAGAACTACAAACAACAAATGCAAAACGTACTTCTCTTTCTTAACCCACATGCAAGCTGGATCCTACAAATGACTGACCCCTAAAATCAACAGTCACATAAAGGAATTAAAAATCACCTGACATGCTGGCAACGTGTAGCCTGACCAATCAGGTTATTCAAATCAATCTGGCACTGCCTTAAAAACAGACTGGTCAAAGAGGGCATCGCTGTCATTAACTCAAAAAAAGGAGCCACTAGTCACAAATGTGTTTTCAACTTCCTCACCACAGCTCATCTGTCTCAAAAGGCAAATTCAGGATTTAATTATATACTGCCTCTTTTTCTCCCAGGAAGTAGTTTAGTTAACAGATCTAAGAACTTTTGCCTTGTAAGATGCTGGAATACCAGGTACATCTCTTCATGTGTCATAACCAAGCCTGCACATAACTGAAAAGAAACTACAAAAATGGTGGGTCAGTCTATTGAATCTCCAACTTCCCCAGGCTTCTTGCTCTTAAGATGTTGGTGGCAGGTGAAGGGGAATCCAACAACCAACATGAACAGGGCAGAAAGCCTGAAGCTGCTCTACTGCTTCTGATCAGTCAGAAAGCTTAGTACAGGCCACAGGCCCTAAGGTCATGTGCATCTAGTGAAGTTATAACTAAGCACGATTTTCTCAAATAAGAACTGGAGACACTTCTTCAAGGAAACTGACTCTCCAAGAGGCAGTTCAACACTTCGTGAGGCAGGGGGACAGGGTGGGGGGGTCTTGTGTGCACCTCTAAATGCACACAAACTATTTCTAATGTCAAAGTTCCCTCCTCCCAGTAGCTCAAAGAAGAAGGAACAGAACTACCAAAATTAGCTCCAAAAATGCCCTTCCTTTATCCCCGGGCAAAAGTGGGCAGGGGCAGCAAAATTCATAGGCAGAAGTGCGTGTCATCCATGGCCAGCCTGGAGTTAAGACAGAAGCTCACGCACACAGAGTGCCCATCACTCTCCCTGCTGCACAAAGCCTATTCCTTGCTGATTCTAAATTCCATCAATCACTCACCTCCTCAAAAGAGCTCAGGCTAGCTCAGCTGACACCCCTATTTCCTCACTTCCTCAGAGGAGAAGCGGGGGTTATCAATGGCAGCACAGTTCAGTGGAAAAAAACAGGAATTCTGACTTATTAGCGAGTCATCTTTCTCCGAGTCTTGCTTTCTTATCGATAAAACAGGGATATGATGACATCTTGCACAAGATAATATCCTATTCTCCCACTTAAATTTTCTCAGCTCACATAATATTAGGGAACAATGAGTCTCAGGACCCCTACATGGACTTACTAACTTGAGAGTTGGCTATGAGGCTAATTCTAGGGGCCCAGCACCACTGGCGAGGCTTTGACAAACCAAAAATAAGGGAAAGATATGAATATGAAAAGGACCTCAAAATAACTCTTTTTCAAAAATAGGAAGAAATCAAAACCATCCAGGTTCCCTGTTGAGACACCAGAATACTAGCTGTTTAGGTCAACGAAGGCCAGCAGATTGCAAACCTAATGAAATGAAAGCCAGCATGTACACCAATGCAAAGGTAGCCAGCCTCCTGCACACGGACTGCACAGCTGGCCTGAGCAAGCGTTTATCTCCAAAGTCAGTGGATGCCTCTAAGCCAAGTCACACTGCTGTGTCTGAGTTAACACCCGACCTGCCCAAAGAGGCAATTCAGGCGAGACCCATCCACGGCTGCTCTCCCAGGATGCAGCACTGACCTTGAGAGAAGCGGGCCTGCTCATTAACGTGGGATGTGGTGGGAGTGTCCAAAGGAAAGAGGTATGCTCAAGCCATTGAAGGAAGAGGAGGGAAGATGATGGCTCTAACACTGACAGTGCCAGCAACACAGTCCAAGCCCCGACCATACAGAAACATCTAACCAGCCTTTCCCCTCAAATCATACATTCAGAAATGTAAGACTAGTCATAATGATTCAAGCAGGAGTAAAAAGAGTAACAACCAAACCCAGAGGCGGGAAGCAAGGGGAAAGAGATGGAGGTCATGTTCCCAGCATGCCATTGTTACTTGGGTAAGAACAGCTGAGCTCATGGTTTATGATGGCAGGGTTCATATGCCATCATTTGATGTACACTGCAGCATTTGGTTTCACATTGCTGTGGAGTTGGTGCTTCTAACTCCGCATACAGATTTGCAGTTTCTGAGAGCTGAGAAAAACCTCTAAGACTTGTTCACAGTCACGACATCTGAATAAATCCATGGAGCTAAGTTCTCAGTCTTACCCTTAGTCACTATAGCAGGAGCGAGATCAAGCAACTACCTCCAAGAACATCTCTCCACCCCCAGCACTCAGCACAATGCCTGGCACGTATTACATGCACGATACATTTTAGTTGAATGAATGACTCCGACAGATGAATAAAATCAGTAAAAGGTCTACTTCCTTTACGCCTTCATTTTCCTCATCCTACACAACATAGAGGGAATAGAATATTTTCAAGGAATGCACCCTGCTCACCCCATGAGCTCTCAGGAAAGCCAATGTAGAAACCAATACACTTTGAAGCCACATACATTTCTTTAGTGCCAAAGATGTTCTCTTTGGCCAAAGCAGTGATGATAGCCTCATGAAGAAAAGGCAATCGTTAGGAAAGAAAATTCAAAGAGTAACTTCAGATCCTCAGCTGCATTTCCAGCAGAAGCAAGGCCAAACCGCCTCCAGACTCAGCAACGACATGAACAGTGAGGCTTCTGACGGAACACTTCAGATACGTGGCTCTCAGGGACACCTGGATATTAAACTATGGAATAAAATATTTTCAAAACGTGGATGTTTCACTGTCGGCATAAAAGAAAAATAAATTAAAAAGCCAAGTACATTTTCCAGTCTGATATAAATTAATTCTAATGGCATATTTAAAAGAGTCAATTATAACTGTCTCTCATAAAATTTTAAAAGGCAGCAATCAATCCTCAGATTGTACAAGTGCAAAGGAATGGTATTTTCTCCATGATCAAGACACCTCAGTATCTGTGTAAGAACTCCCAGTGTTCCCATCTGATCGAAAACTTGGGCCAGTGCAGTTGATGCCCCTTGTCATACTGCTCCTTTCCCCTTAATGTCCAGCTTGCTACTGGCCTCTGATTGTTTGCTCAGCTGCTCTTCAGAGAAGGTGATGTAGGAATATACCAGGCTCCCAGCAATGCTGCAAAACAGAAAACCACCATCAGGGAGGAAGGAAGGAATGGCAAATAGGAGGCAACCTGAGTGACGGTTGGAGCTACCTTTATAAATCACCACCACGTAAAATGAAAACATACAGCATTTTCATTTACCAACTAGAGACATTCCCTCATCATGGTACTATCCACTGTCGCTGATGCTTTGGAAAAACAAATGTTTGCATGTACTTGTCAGCAGGAGTGCCAATTTTATACAGTCTTTCTTCATGACAATTTGTTGAAATAAAAACCTCAGAATTCTGCTTATCCTCTGACCTAGCAATCTATTTCATGGATGGACTGTATACATCTTCATAGACTTATTGACAAAGCATTTATCACAAAATCTTTAACTGCAGAAAATTAGCTGAAGGATAAGTGTCTCATAAGAGTATTATATAAATTCATACAATAGAATATTAGGCATTCATTCAAATGACAGAAAATAAAGAGCTGGCCATGACCTTTAAAATGAAAAAATAGTTCAGCATTCTCCAACCCCATTTTATTTAAATGAACATGAATATGTACATTAATGCATCAGAATAAAGTCTGGACGGGACAAAATAAGCATATTAATGATAGCCGTCAAGAAAGGGCAGGGTGAAAACACCGCTTTTGGGTGAAGCGGCAGCATGTTGTGTTGTTTTGCTTCAATCGGTGGTGTGACAAGGTGAAAAAAAAAAAATAAAAAAAAAAGAATATTAATGATAGTTACATCTAGACTGAGATTATAGGTGATTTCTACTTGTATTTTCTACATTTTCAAAAATAATCACTCGAGACAGAAATACTTTTTAATAAGAAAAAAAATCCCAATTAAGTAAGAAAACAGGCTTCCCAGGTGGCGCAATGGGAGGAATCCACCTTCTCATCGCAGATTGTCAAGGAATCTCCTGTCAATGCAGGAAATGTAAGAGAAGCAGGTTTGATCCCTGGGTCAGGAAGATCCCCTGGAAATGGCAACCCACTGCAGCTAGTCTTGCCTGGAAAATTCCATGGACAGAGGAGCCTGGCAGACTGCAGTCCACGGGGTTGCAAAGAGTCAGACATGACTGAGCACACATGCACACACACAAGAAACAAAACATGCAGACCCTGGGGAGACTCAGAGCTGGTTTCTCTCCAACCAGAATCAAATGAACAGTGGAGAATCTACATCGTCTGAGCCCTCGGCCTCTGAGCTGGCTGCTGCCACCCCTCACACGTGTCTACCACACCTTACCTCCAGGAGGGTTCGCTCTTCTGGGACAGTGATTATTTGGGGGACCTCAAGCCCACCTGGGCTACACAGCCTCCTGAAAGCTCTTTTGAGGGAATGTATTCAAAGTTACCTATCATATGTGTGTTTAGGAATAAATGAACCTTCCCAGCTAGATTACAAATTCCCTTAAGGTAAAAATTAGTCTATGCCTTTGCATACTAATCAGTTACCTCCTTAAGGAGACAGGAGAATAAAGACAAGCCATTGGTAAGACAGGAGGTAAGCAAAGAGACTGAAAATGTTCAAAACAAAGTGGAACTATTTTACTCACTTATCCCATGTGCTCTCACATGGCTTAAATCATGCAGCAGATTTTTACAGTCAGATCAGGGTTAGAGTCTCAGCTCTGCTTCTTACTATGGTGGCTGTGTGACCTTGGGCAAGTTATTTCACCACTCTGAGTCTCAATTTCGTTTTCATGTGAACTCGGGGATGATTAAATAAAACAATGTTGTAAAGGTGACTGTCACAGACTAGGCACTCAACAAATATTAACTCCCTATGTTGCCTTCACAGATATCTATCTATGTCCTTTCTATATCAAGGTAAGTGTCGGTCTGTGCACATACTTTATTTAGTTTTTATTGAAGTACAGTTGATTTACAATGTTATGTTAGTTTCTGGTGTACAGCAAAGTTATGCAATTTCATATATATACACATACACACGTTCTTTTTCATATTATTTTTGTTATGATTTACTACAGGACATTAAATATCATTCCCTCATGTGTACATACTTTAAAAATAGAAGTACCTCAGTCACAAAAGTCTGACCAGGATGTTTGTTAACCATTCTATCTGCCGAGGAGTTTTAGGAATTTGGCCAGGAGTAAATTTACAAAAAAATAAAAGGCTCCCAAATTTTGTTGTGATTTCTTTGGAACTCAATGGCATTGATAAGGATATTACTTGTTTTATTACTTGATGTGAGTCAGGTAGATGCTCTCTTTTAAGATCACAATTCTGATAAGACTGACTTCATGTACAATACAGTTTTGTTTTTTTTAAGGGCTCAACTAGAGAAAAGCTAAACAAATAGAAGAATATGAAGCTAAAAACTTGCTTTCTACCTATTCTTACCATTTAATGTCAGTGTTTTTGGAAAGGGGGCATTTCTCTCACATATTTGGAAACAAGGTTTTAGGGGATTTTTTGCTTTCCTGGTATCTCTAATACTCTTCCCCAACTCGGGGCTGAATCCAAACTACTCAAGCATTCCCATCACTTTCTCCCCTACTTCTACTCCTTTTTCTTTTCTGTCTCTTTAAACAAACAAACAAACAAAAAAACCTTAAAATGTAGGTAGAGGACTCCTGTCAGAACTTTTAAAAAGGTAATATATATGTTTCCCACACCTGGAAGAAGTTCCTTCAAATGTCATTAGTCTCCTGCAAAATAACTTTAGACCTCAAGACCAGGGTCAATCAGAGAAGTTTAGCAGCCAAACTAAAACGGACAACCCTAGCTTAAAAACTGAGCAAAAGAAAACTGAGGTTATGAAAAGTGAACTATACATAGCTAGTGGCAGTACCCATAACAGAACACAAATCTGTTCATATACAGAACACTATATTCCATTTCAGTGCTCTTCTGCAAGGAATTCTATCGCAAAGGGCCAGCTAACCTCCCTACATCCTTTTAGAAGTCAAAGTTATTCCAGTGAGAAGTTAGTTATTTATCTCTATGAAAAGCCTGGTAACTGTTACAGCAGCAGCAACCCACTGATAATACCAACTGATAATACAAAACATGTCCTTCTCTCTCTCCAAATGAGAGAACCACTAAGAAGAGCTCATGTCCTTACTTCAGGAGAAGCCTTGAACTCTGAGAGTCTGCTAGGATGGAATTATGCAGGAGGAGAAGTCTGTAACCAGGAAGCAAAACCTCCCTTTAAGGAAACAGGTAAAGGAGTCCCAAATGCAGGAACAGGAGACTCGGGAGCCAGGCACAAGTGGCTAGACCAGAGCCCTCAGGACCAGCTCTGGGGCCAGACTCTGAGCTGCATCACGGCCCACCCCAGAGACTGCAGAGACTCTGGTTTGATGTCAGAAGGTACAGTCAAATGGGGTGTGTTACACAAAAGGAGGCTGACTTAAGAGTTTTGTAACCAGTGTGATGACATTTACTGAAGGGATATGAAAATAAAATTAATTTATTCCTCTATTCAGTTTTACTGGACTGCAGTTAAGTCAACTTGGAAGGCAATCATGGACTGACTATTTCACCAGCTGGATAATACATGGCAAGTTTCTCAGCCCCTCTATGAAATGAAATACTCACAGCACCTATCTCAGAGAACTGTTAGATTAAGTATGGCATACTTAGGGCAATGCCGAGGATAAGACTAAGCATAAAAAAAATTGTCTGATATCTGGCTGTTATTATTATTACTGGTTGGATGCCTGTTACAGACCAGGCACTGATAAGTACTGACACAACTATAAATAAGACAAGTGATTTCTGCCCTCAGAGAGCTGAGAATCTAAAGTGGCAATGGCTACATATGATTCACTTAGGCTATATTACAACTAATTAGTCATATACTGAATGATAATTCATTAAAGGGTGAGAACCTGGACTCTCGAGTTCAACCTACCAGGGTTGAAATCCTTCAACGACATGAGCTGTGTGACCTTGCCAGAGCTATGAGTGAATGCACCACATCTCTCTAGAAACAGGCCCAATGCATGTCTTCAGAATGCATTAGACTGAAACTTCCTAAGCTTCAGCCTCCTCATTTATGAAACAGCGATAATAAAAGAACTTCAGGGCTTCCCAGGTGATTCAATGGTAAAGAATCCACCTGCCAATGCAGGAGACACAGGTTCAACCTCTGATCTGGGAATTCCATAACAGAATACTACTCAGCAGTAAAAGGGAATTCCCTAACGGCTCTGCAGGTAAAGAATCCGCCTACAATGCAGGAGACAGGAGACTCACGTTCTATTCCTGGGTTGGGAAGATTCCCTGGAGAGGAAATGGCACTCCAGTATTCTTGGCTGGAAAACCCCACAGACAGAGGAGCCTGGCTGGCTACAGTTCAAAGCATCACAGAGTCAGACATGACTGAGCCACTAAGCATTAAGGGATCGACAGTCAGCAGCAGCAGGAAAAAGGTACCAACTACTGATACGTGCATACCACAGAATCTCAAATGCAACATGGAATCTCAAGCAATATGTTAAGTGAAAGAGGTCAGAGGAAGAGCTGCATAACATTTTGTATCACTATACAACATCTGGGACATCATATAGATACAAAACAGATCTTTGTAGGGGAGAGAGGTTCAATGAAAAAGGACACAGGGAGATGAGAGGTATTACACTTGTTTTATACCTTGAATGTAGTGGTGGTAGTTATATAACTGTATGCATTTATCAAAACTCCCAGAACTGTACAGGAAATGAAGGGGATTTTACTGTATTTAAATCATGTTAATTTTTTTAAATAGAAGGAAAAAAAAGAATCACAGATAAAAATAAACTCCAAAAGTTCTATGAATTCTAGCCTAAGCAGTTATGGAGATGCTGCTGTCATTATCTGGAAAGCCTGCATTACTTGGGCCAAAGCCACAGGCCAGCGCCCAACTTCTGGTGAAAGTACAGAAGCACACTCTAATTGTCACCACCCTTCACTATTCATTCCCCACTCGCTCTGCTGCTTCTTTGAGCTTGAGTGAACACGCAGTAATTGGCCACTGGAAAAAGGCACTTAGGGGAGTTGGAGACAGCCAGGCTCTTAACAGAGCCCTACTAGGGGACAGGAAAAAAAAAAAAATCAAATTGGAGCCTGAGAACCTACCAATACAAACCTCTTGCTTCCTAGAATTGAATCCTATCTGAAGGGACTATTTAAACTTTTTCTGAAACAGCAAAAAAAAAAAAAAAACCCAAGCAGGATGAAGGTAAGCTAGATTCATCGGAGTATAATCAGAAGATTCTTTATTAGTGATTTCTTTCAAAGTGCAATCAGCCAAGGATGAACTCACACCATTTCCAATCAACTAAGTAGCCAATCTAAGTTTGGTTTTTCACATTAAAAAAAAATAAAAAGTAATGTTCGCAATCATGAGTCCACTAACTAGTGTAAGATGTAAAAAAACCCCAAACCATAATTTTTATTTAAAGAGAAAAAGTCAAAGAAAAAAAAAGGCAACATATACTTTCCTTTACAGACACTGAAACGCAAGTTGTAATGGAAAGAAATGGTATTTGAAACACAAGGTCATCTGGACTCTAATCCTAACTGCAAATAATTTGAATGCTCACTGGCAAATAAGTATACTACTCTCCTTAACCCTGTAATGAAACAGAGATTAAAGAGATATGGCCTATAAAATTTATTACAATAAAATGTGAAGGCAATTAGAAATTATTAAAAATACTACATAAGGGAAGAGTACCAATGACATCATTATCAACTAACCTTGCCAGCAAACGGTACTGTTTAACCAGAACTATAATCACTACTCAGCACAAAAAGAAACTTTCAAGACTTTAGATTTGACATATGTTGGGCTGACACATGAACCATTCCAAAATACTCAGGCGATAAAGTTTTTTTTTTTTTTTTTAAATAGCCTGCATGTGGGGAAAAAAACTATTTCTTTATAAGATAATATAAGAGATTTAAACTGCAGATATCTGAAAATGCAAACAGCAGCTCTTACTTCATTTTAACCATCAAGTTCTTGCTTGAAGGAGACCAAAAAAAAAAAAGGCATTTCTGAATCAGGCCCATAATGTATCATAAAGACTCTTTAATCCAGATTTTTAGAAATGAAGGAAGTTTAGGCTACATGCAAACTCAGAACTACTTCACCATGTTGATCCTTTCAGAGTTGGCCGTTCCTCACAACTATTAATGAAAGAAACTGATTATCTACTAAGCATAAATATCAAGCAATGAATCAGGTACTTCATTCATTGGATTATTTCATTCCAACAACTCTAAAGATATAGGTTTCTAATGGAAATATGTAAGAAAACTGAAGCTCAGAAAGAAACAACGCTTTCGAAATCACACAAGTGTTAAGTATCAGAACTGCAACTGTGAATGTGATCTGAGACTCAACTGCTCCAGAACATGCAATCCTCAGGCATATTTACACATCCAAACTCCGACCAACATATCCAAACCCCACAAATAACAAATAATTTTTCCTCTAAAAAGACAAACAATAATAATGACAAATAATTGTCATGGAAGGGAAAATAAGGAATTATTATCTTATTAATAACATTAGTATTAATACACTGATTCATAAGAAAGGTGGAATAGGCATTTTCACTTGTTTACATTTAAAGATATAAGAGCTCAAGAGAAGTTATATGATTTATTGTAAATTAAAAAGATACTACCATTAAAGACCTTTATAGTTTTCAAAGTGGTTTTTTTTAATCAGCAATCCATACAGAATTCATCAAACAAATATTAAGCAGCGACCAGAACTCATTCTAGGAGCTTGGAAAGATGAGTGAACAATACAAGCAGAGATCTATACCCTCATGGAACTTACATTTTAGCAGGGGAGATAGAAAATGCATAGTATATATAAACATAAACAGAAATATAGAATAAAAGGGCCTCAGAGTATCAGAAGAGGAAGAGCAGGTTGCAATTTTAAATAAGGTGGTCAGGGTAAACTTCCATGAGTAGGTAACATTTGAGCAAAAATATATAGGCCTAAGGGAACCAGCCATGCAAGTACCTGGCAGTACAGTGTTTCAGGTAAAGAAAATATTCTGTCCAAACACCCTAAAGAGACAGCATGCCCTGTATTTGAAAAGAATACCAAGGAGGCCTGTGTAGATGAAATACAGTGAGGGAGAAGAGAAGCAAGAGCTGAAATTGAAGGGCAAGTGAGAGACAGACTTTGTTGGGCCTTATCAGGACACTGGGACATGGAGAGGGGAGTACAAAGAAGAGTGACATGTTCTGCCTTAGCTCTGACAAGGAATACACTGTCTACTCTTGAGAACTGACTAGGGCTGAGATGTGGGGATGAGCCAAATCAGAGATCCAAGTATAGAAGACTAGGCAATAATCCAGGCAAAAGATGTTGGTGGCTGACGTAACGATGGAAGGAATGCAGACGGTGAAAAGTGGTCTTTTTTGGATGTATTCTGAAGGTAGAACGAATCGAATTTGCTAACACACTGGATGTTGGGTATAGGTTGAAGAGTTGAGGATAACTCCAAGGCATCTGAATTGAGAGGCTAGAAGGATGGAGTGTCACCAGTTGAGATGTTCAGGCTGAGGGTGGAACAGACTTTGGAGGAAATACAAGGAGTTCAGTTTTGGACATATCAGCTGGAGATGTCAAGCGAGCTAATTAGATGTACAAGTCCAAGTTCAGGATGGGGGTCTTTAAAATTTGAGGGTATCAGAGCATATAAATAATATTTAAAACCATGATATTAAAAATTCTCAAACTGAAAAAGCTCTCTCAGGCAAGTTACCCTTATCATTGTTAAAGATGAATGAAGTTTAAAGAAATGGAGTTATGTGTCCAAAGTAAGATGCATATAAAGCAATATAAAGAGAGCTGGTATTTAGCCTGGAATTTTCTTAAGAACACTGCACTAACATCTAGCACAATAAATAAAAGATTATTCTTTCAAGGCTAAACAAAAGGAGTTCAACTTCCAGAAAAAGACTCCCCAAAAACTGTGCATAAAATATGAAACCACTTTCTCCCTTTCTTAAAAAGCATTATCAAAAAGACATTAACTATATAATGTACTGTAGGAACTCCACAAATGTCTGTTTAATAACAAGTGAACGAACTTGCCATTAAATAGTCCAAGCTAACTGTGACTATTTGACAATCTAAATCCATCTGTCAAAGTGGTTACAGTTAAATATTTCTACTTACCTGATATTTAAGCCAATGAAGTTTGTCCAAGTGAAAATATAATCTCCACCAAAGACCATTCCAATATAAGTTATTAATATATTCTAAAAAGAAAAATGGCAAAACACTGTTACACAGATTTGAACTTTTTCAATACTCAAATAAAGTCTTCCACACAATGACCCAGACATATATCCTCAAATTACAAAAGCAAATAAACAGAAACTAACAAAAACCCAACGATCCTAAAATGAGTGTAGCATGAGCATGAACATCAACTAACAAACGATAACATCAGTCTCTTCCTGGTCTCTCTCCAGAAGCTAAATGCTTTCACCAATACTGAGGAATACTAAAAAGATCATCAAACTTTCCCCTTTCTTGTCATATGGGCTGACATTACAAATCTAAATAAAGAATCACTGCTTTCACCAGGGGTATTTCTACACATTTAGCCAAGTTCAAAAGGAACGTTTTTTTTCTCCGACAGAGTAGCAGCTGACTTTGTGAGTGGAGAGTGAAGGAAAATCTGCTTACAGGCAAGTATCCTTCCCTTTTTTTTGAAAGGGAAAAAGGGGATGATGGAGAATTTACCAACTCAAAGACTATTTCTAGAGGACTCTTTGTTGGTATCTTAAAAAAACACAGGGGAAGTCATCTCAAAGCATCACCCCTAAAATCACCACTCCCAACCCCCTTAATCTCTCAGGTGTAAACATCTGCTTATCTCACTCCTTTTTCAGCTTCTGAGATCTCAGTTCCTCAACTAGGCCTCAAACTGGGCCCAGAGCAGTGAAAACCTCTGACTCCTTTTTAATTATCCTCAGACCACAAAGATAAAATAAAAATTTCCAAAGTTTAAGCTCTTATTCAATTCCTCCCTAAGCTTTTTTCCCATTCCTAAGTCACTGACTCCTTCTGTGCTATTACAACTGCCAAAACAGTAAATGTCACAAATATTTTTAGTACCTGGGTTCTCTTAGATTAGGCCTACAAAGCAGAAAGTAAAATGCTATCGTGTTTTGAAAAGGCCAAAAATAAACTTCAAAATTATTCTTAGAGTGGAGTAGTACCCTTTGAGAGAGCATTCAAAATTATGTCAGCCTCTTCCAGGCCTAAATATAGAGAAAGAAAGTCACTTTAGAGCAAATTTTCTTATTACTTGAGAGGAAAAAAAAAAATACCATGTAACCATAAACAAGGCTGGTAGGCAACTTGGGAAAATGTGTTAAGAGGACCTCTCTTTGGAATACAGAAATTCAGGGAAAAAGAGAGATTAGTTAGCATAAACTGCCCAAGGAATTTCAGAAAAGGAAAGAACAGAGAACCCAATCTTTTGCTCAATATCAGTCAGAAGTTAGAAAAACTATGTATTAAAGCATCCTAACCAAGATACTCTATCAGAAGACACACTCATGCCCCCGAAGCAGAACTCAGCAGGAGGCACAGAAGAGTCTGTGCTGGTAGCTCAGAATGAAGACTGCAATTCTGAGCCTTTAGTTTACCAGAGACTCAGCTGGAAACCCTGATGACTTCCATGCCCTACTTTAGAGATCCTGATTCAAAACATCTGAGGTGGGCCTAGGACCCTCCATGTTTAACAAGTTCTCCTAAGTAATTTTCCCACCACACTTAAGAGAAACAAGGAATGCTGACCCAAGGGTTTAGGGGGTTAGGATCTTCAAGCACAGAAGGCAGCTTAAAGCCTGCTGGGGAACAGTGACTGAGCTACACAGGTTGTAGCTGGGAGGCTAATGAAAGAAGCTCCACTCTGGCCCAACTCCAAACCAGCAAGAATATCAGGGTACTCCCATCTGTCTGAAGGTATAAGACATCCTTCAATACCATAGCAGCTGTGAGAAGCAATAGCAATATAAACCACAGCTGACCCTTGTACAAAGCTGGGGTTGGGGGTGCAGTGAAAAATCTGAGAATAACTTATAGATGTGTGTGTGCGCATGTCAGTTGCTCAGTTGTGCCCGACTTTGCAACCGCATGGACTGTAGCCCACCAGGCTCCTCTGTCCATGAGATTCTCCAGGCAAGAATACTGGAGTGGGTTACCATTTCCTTCTCTAGGGGATCGTCCCGACCCAAGGATCCAACCTGGGTCTCCAGCATTGCAGGCAGATTCTTTACCATCTGGAGGTACCAGGGAAGCCCAACTTATGGATGGCCCTCCTTATCTGAGATTGGGCATCTGTGGATTCAGCAACCACAGATGGTACAGTACTATAAAATTTACTACTGAAAAAATTCTGCATGTTAATACATTATTGACTGGGGGGTTTTTGCAGACACTAACGCCTATGGCTGGCAATTTGTTATGTTAAATGAATACAGAAATGTCTCTGGTCAATAGTTTTTGGGTAACGAAACATATTAATATGTCTCTGGTCAATAATAATGGACCCTAGCAGTTGAAACCTGCTTTGTTCAAGGGTTAACTGTAATCAGATACTCCAGTTTTTTTCCCCTCCCTCTAGAGTTTAGAAGTAAAACTGTTCCCTTTGGACTAAGTTCATATGATTCTGTGGAGAGGAGGAAATATCAAAAGAAATAAACTGGACTTAATGCTGATGAGAGCACTACTGTATTTGTACCCCACACTGATGACAATGAAGAATGTACACTAAGAAATTCTAAGCAAATTAGATTTAGTTATTTGCTAAATAACTTTCCACACCATCCTTCTTCTTGGTTAAAAACAAGGCACCAACTGTCCTGTGTCTCGTGTTCCTGCTGTTTTTATTCTGAAGAGGCAAGCCAGCTACTTTGCTCTTGAAGCATTAACTTTACAAAACCCAAACAGTGCTGAACAGGTCATTTGGGGCTGAAATGGTCTCAGCCAGTTCTGGCCTTCAAATGCTTATCTCTAGCTTTCACAGAAGTCATACAGTTATTACAGCTTAATTTAGAATTCTATTCACACCAAACGCTTCAATTCTATGTTTGACATCACAGACCTTCTGAGGCTTTAACCCAAGTCCAGTTCTAAAATGAGGTCTGGCGTCTATGAACACAGCTCCATGGGGGGCGCACGGGGGAACACAGCAACCAGGAGGAACTCTAGGCTGCAGCCCCTTCCCTCACCACTGACAACTGAGGCGCCAGAAGTCAAGTCCCAAGGGGACCTGTACTGTTTCCTCCCAGTGATCAAGGACCTACCTCTCTCTATTGTGCTCTTTTAGAAAGCAAGCCTACCTCACTAATGTTTTTGGAATTCAGGGATGCTGCAGCCTCTTGGATCTTAAAGCACTAGAATCACAAATTCAGATGAGGGACACCTCAGGCTTCAAGCTGCTAACTGCAGCTCAATATTCAAGGCAGTGTGGCTCTCCTAGCTGAAGACAAATGAGCCTCCCTCATAAAATGGATCGGGAGGAAATGACATCACTGGTAATATCAGACACAGCTTTTAAAAGTGGGCCATTTAAGGCTTGGCTCACGCTTAGGAAAACTCCCTTGATTAGCTTCTGGCAGGCATCCTTCTTCTACGACACAGCCAGAGCTCAGCAAGGAAGAGAACAATTCTCGTCAGGAGTTAAAGGGACAAATCCACCAGTACCGAGCTGGTCACCTGCTCTGTCAGAAACAGGGCTGAATATCAGTCTCCTTCCTCCCCTCTGAGATGACGCATTCTCCTTTCCTCACTCTCCTCAGACCTAAGCTGCCTGAAAGTGGAGATCATGTTCTCCCTGAGTTCTTCAGGATTGTTCTAGGAACCATCACCACACTTTGTCAAACTATCAAGGCAACACGTGACGAAATAAGAATGAAAGGGAGAAGGCCACAGTCAGACTTATTTTAGAAGAACACTTATCAAATAAAGTAGGCACCCAAAAGAATACAGTACCTTTTCAACTCACCTTAATACAGCCAACTATCGTAGTTGTAAGAGCAGAATTATACTGAGTGCAAAGCACAGTAGCATACATCAAGATAAATCTGGAAAAAGAAGGACACAGTATCTTATAAGTAAAATCCAATTCTTATTTTATAGTAACCCCGAAACAAGGGATGGAGAAGGCAATGGCACCCCACTCCAGTACTCTTGCCGGGAAAATCCCATGGATGGAGGAGCTTGGCAGGCTGCAGTCCATGGGGACACGAAGAGTCGGACACGACTGAGCGACTTCACTTTCACTTTTCACTTTCATGCACTGGAGAAGGAAACGGCAATCCACTCCAGTGTTCTTGCCTGGAGAGTCCCAGGGACGGCAGAGCCTGGTGGGCTGCCATCTATGGGGTCGCACAGAGTCAGACACGACTGACGCGACTTAGCAGCAGCAGCAGCCAAGAGAAATGATCAGTGTTGGCCATGCCAGTACATTCTACTAGACACTGGCTGTGAGCTTTCCCAGCTCACTGCTGCTTCTATTGAAGCTTTGGATTTTTTTTTTTTAATTTCATTAAAGAGAAACACATATCCATTTAATGATCAGGTGCTTTTCCCAGCTATTGCACCAAAACCTTGAAACCACCATTCACAATCATGAGTCATCTTTTTGGATCATAGTCCTAATTCACCTACCTGAGGTACAAGGCTCAGGGCTTACAGACCCTGGCTCAGGTGTATATGTAACGTGAGGGCAATATGATTCTGGACCAGGGTGAAGACAAGAGAGATACTTTAAGGATGGAAGAAAAACAAGTGAGAACTACTTTAAGAGGGGATATAGTTCACTTAACAACAGTGGCAGTAGTCGGCACTCCCAGATTTTACAATGAGGCTTCGGAGCCTGACTCGGTACCAAGGTACCCTGTCAACTTTATTTTGAAGCATCCAGTCACCATGTAGCAAGCCTGGGCTAGATCCACTCACTAGCATCAACTGAAATGACTGGTTGAGGGGAAAAAAAACCATTAGGGAAATTTGGAGGTGAGGAGAAGAGGCACATTTGCAGATACCCTCTTGCTTTCTTCAACATGGTAGGGAGAAGTCAGTCCTAAATTCAAAAGCTGCTACTGCTGCCTACTAATTCTGCAAACTTAGACAATTTATTTGAATTCTGAGCCTGTTTTCTCAGGCAGTTAGGAGTAGGGAGCAATAATATCTGTCAAACGGGTAATGTAGAAATAAAATTAAATAATCCATGTTGAAATATAATGGTGCTTATCACATACTAGCTTATTGAATAAATATTTAGTTTTTTTCCTTCATCCTTCTAGAAGCATGACTTTGAGATCAGTTTGGTATCCCTGGGGGTACATTCCCAAGGACAGTGAAACCACTAGAGTCTGGAGGTTTATCCTGAGCAGATACATTCAAGAGACAAGAAAGAGGCAGAAAGACACCAGACTAAATTTCTTTAGGAAAACTATCTGCTAACAAGGCAGCAAAGGCTTACCCCATCACACAAGAGAGTGTGAACTGCAGAAGAAAGAGGGTGTCAGCCCAGCCTTCAAAATCCAATGCCTGTAATAAACAAGAAAGCACCGGATTTTAGAGCAGGCCCTCCAAGTCGGCTGTGTCATTCATTAATGAAAACCCTGTGCAGTTTCTCCCATCACACAGTCATATACATACACTTCCATGCATCACTCCAAGGATAAAGAGTGATGTTCAAGAATCTCATATATATGGAAATGAATCAATTAGCAGTTTTGTATGGTTTTCTCCTTTCCAAAATGTAACATGAGTGAGATTTTATACTTCTCCATGTTGGTACAAAGAAACTGCTATTTGCTTGAAGGCACAAGCCATGTCTTGCTAATTTCAGCAATCTTCCCAGATGGCTGGTATTAAATAATGGCATTCTCAAACGGTAAAACATACTTCTTCCTTGTAATGTGTGAAAGCTCAAGTATAGTCTTAGTTACCTAAATTCAGCTGAGGCCTGTCCAGGAAGAATTACTATTTTAAAACAGTTGATTTTGTAAAAGCAAAGTTTCTGTTGTTCCCCTTTGTTTCTAAGCCAAAAGTCAAAGGAATGACCAGAAACAACAGTGTGCATTGATCATCTCTCTCTCACCCGTGAGGGAGGGTTTCTCTCTCAAGTACATAATTTCTCTTGCAATATGAGTTTGTCAAGCAAATCTGAGGAACATTCCACTTTGTAATCTCTCTGCCAACCTGTCCAACTTCAACTCTTGCCACTTCAACACAAATCTCATGGCTCCAGGGCTCCAGCAATACCAGGCTCCTCGTGGTTTATAAAACATAACGTGCATTTCACACTCACATGCCTTTGCCTGGAATGCCCTGCCCCTCGACAGTCACCTGACTCCCGCTCACCCATCAAACCAGAAGCCAAGCAGCTCCTCTGTGGAGCGTTCCCGGGTCAAGAACTCCTTCCCCTGTGCCTCAGCACTACTTCTCTTCAGCACCTCTCTCTCTGAACTGCAAGTCTTCCTCCACCATGTCTACAGGCTGGGAGCTCCCTGGTGGGAGGACCCACTTCACATTGGCTGCTTCACAGCATTTGATAGACAGTAGACATTCAACTTGTTTGTGATTCTTTGTTGAGGTGTAACATATAAAAAAAATTAAATTCACCAATTTTTAAGTGTGTAATTCAAAGAGTCTTGACAAATGTATAGGCATGAAACCACCATTACAATCATGATAAAGAAAGTTTGGCCTAAAACCGTAGAACCTAGAGGAAAACGGAGGGGAAAGCACCCTGGCACAACAAAATTGACAACAATTTTCTGGCTATGACACCAAAAGCACAAACAACCAAAGCAAAGCTAAGAGGGACGACACCAAACTAAAAGGCTTCTGCACAGCAAAAGAAACAATCCACAAAATGAGACGGCAACCTATGGGATGGGAAAAAATATTTGCAAACTATGTATCTGATAAGAGGTTAATTGCCAAAGCACACAAGGAACTGATAAAACGCAACAGCAAGAAAAATCCCAAACAATCCAATTAAAAAAGGGGTAAAGGAGTTGAGCAGATACCCCTCCCCAACAAAAAAAGGGTATAAATAGATAACAGGTACATGAAAAGGTGCTCAACATCACTTAAAAAGTGCAAATTAAAACCACAATGAGATAGCACCCCACAACTATTGGAACAGCTGTCATCAAAAAGACAAGAGATAAGAAGTGCTGACAATCGTGTGGAGAAGAGAAGCCTTGTATTGTTGGCAAGAATGTACATTTTACAGTCAGAATGAAACACATACAATGGAGCATTATTTAGCCATGAGAAAGGAAATCCTGCATTTTGCAACAACATAAATGGACCTTGAAGGCTTTATGCAAAGTGAGATAGATCAGACGGAGAAAGACATACACAGTTTGATCTCACATGTAAAAATCTAAAAAAGCCAAATGTGCAGAAACAGAGCAGAATGAAGCGGTTGCCAGGCACTGGCGGGGGAAACAGTGAGGTGTTGGTTTTGTAACTTAGAAGATGTGTGTGTTCTAGTGCTCTAATGTGCAAGCATGGTTTTATGGTTAACAATACTATAAAGTTTACATACTTGAAAGTTACTAAGAGAGTAGATCCTAAGTGTTTTCACCACAAAAAAAGAAATGGCAGTTATGTGAAGTGACGGTAGGGTTAACTCATGTTACTGTGGTAATCATTTCCTAACACATAACTATTAAATCAACCACTGTACAACTTAAACTTACACAATATTAAATGTCCACTGTATCTCTGAAAGCTGGGAAAAAAACATTTGCCAGCCTAGAAAGGTCCCTCCTGCCCCTTTATAGTCAATCCCTCCCCCATTTACAGCCTCTGGGAACCTCTGATCTCCTTTCTATTACTGGAGTTTTGCCATTCAATAATTTCATATAAATGGCGTTGTATAGTGTGCACTCTTTTATAGGTGCCTTCTTTAACTTGACATAATACTTTTGTTTCCTTCAGTAAATGTATCTTTTTATAAGGAAATGTCAAATTGTTTTCCAAAGTAGCTAAAACATTTTGTATTCCCACCAGCACTGTGTCAGCGTTCCCACTGCTCTACCTTCATTTGGTTTTAAAAAACAAAATAAATGGAACTGGAAAACTTGATACTGTTAATCTGTTTGTTAGGGCTACTGGAGCAAAGTACCACCAACTGAGCGACTTAAAAAACAAAAATCATTTCTTACGGTTTTAAATGCTAGGAGTCCAAGACCAAGGTGTCAGCAGGGTAGGTTCCTTCTGAGTGCCGTGAGGGACAATGCCTCTGCCCTAGAGGCTGGTGATCTGCTGGCAATCTGTGGTGTTCCTGAGCTTACTGAGGCATCATTCTGATGTCTGCTTTCATATTTTCATGGCATTCTATGCTACTGTCTGTATCCAGATTTCTTCTTTTTCTAACCACACCAGTGATACTGGATGAGGACATACCCTACTCCACTATCTTCTCATCTTAATGAATTCTATCTGTAATGACCCTACTTCAAAGGCACTGAGGTTCTGGGGGTAGGACCTCAACATGACTCAGGGGAGGAACAACACAATGCAATTCAAAATACATTTCAAGTTAATTTTTGTGTTATTTCCTGAGGTAGGGGTCAGATTCATTTTTCTGCATACAGATGTCAAACTGCTATAGCACCATTTGTTGAAGAGATTATCCTTTCCTCATTGATTTATTCAGGCAACTTCAACAAAAATAACTGACCACATGGTCTATTTCTACTTCTTGATTCTCTGCTCTGTTCATTGATCTATTATTGTTTTGTAAAGTTTTCAGGGCGCAGATATAGACATATTTTGCTAAACTTTTCCCTGAGTATTTCATACTTTTGAAGCTTTTGTAAATGGTACTATTTAGTTTCCAAAAGTTCATTGCTGGTAAATCACAGTTCAGTCAATTTTTACATGATGACCTTGTTATCTTACATCTTTGTAAACTAGTTAGTACTAATCACTCTTTTCTAGATTCTTTTCTACATATATGATTATAGTTTTTATAGAGGTATTTTAAATTCTTCCTTTATAATCTCTTATTCTTATTTTCTTGCACTGATGAGGTCTTCTAGTACAATGCTGAATAGAACATTATACAAGAGTGGACATCCCTGCTGTGTTCTCAGTCCTAGAGAAAAGGGACTGAGTCATTCACCACTAAGTACAATAGCAACATATTATTTTGGTAGATGTCCTTTACTGGATTGAGACAGTTCCTTTCTATTCCAAGTTTGCTGAGAATTTTAAACCCATAAATTGGTGTCACTTTCATCAAATACATTTTCTCTAACTATTGACATGTTTCTTCCATTCTTGCTGTTGTTTACTAAGTTGTGTCCGATTCTTATGACCTCATGAACTGCAGCCTGCCAGCCTTCTCTGTCCATGGGATTTCCCAGGCAAAAATATTGGAGGGGGTTGCTATTTCCTTCTCCATAGAACCTGCATGTCCTGCATTGGCAGGCAGATTCTTTACCACAGAGCCACCAGAGAAGCCCTTCTTCTATTTTACTCTTGCCAATATGATGAATTACACTGATTAATTTTCCAGTTTTAAACTAACCCTAATTCCTGAGATAAACACAACTTGGTCATGAGATAGTGTCCTTTTTATATACTGCTGGATTTTTTTAGACTACAGTTTTTTTTCCTCTCCTTATCATTTTTTTGTCAGCTAGTGGTAGAGGGTATGCTGGCCTCATAAAAAATCATTTGGGAAGTGTTCCTCCTTTTCTACATTCTGGAAGAATTTATGTGGAATTAGCATTGTTTCTTCCTTAAACATTCCAGTGAAGTGATCAAGGCCTGAAGTTTCCTTTTTCAGAAGGTTTTAAACTACAAATCCAATTTCTCTAATAAAGATGGGGCTAAATAGTCCTATTAATTAGGACTTTTTATTTTAGTTAAATCAAGCAAGCTAATTATTTTATAGAGTAAGTAATAGTAAGTAACTATTCATGTTACCTATTTCTTCTTGAGTGAGCTTTTATAGTTTTGTGTTTCAAGAATCTGTACACTTCTCAGGTTTTCAGTTTATGGCATATTGTTCATACAATTCTCTTATCCCTTTAATATACACAGGCTCTGTAATAATGCCCTTTGTTCATTTCTGATGTTGGTAATTTGTGTATTCTAACTTTATATCCTGATTAATTGGCCAGGGTTTAGCAATTTTATTGATCCTCTCAAAGAACCAGCTTTTACTTATATTGATTTCTCTGCTGCTTTTCTATTTTCTATTTCACTAATTTCTGCGTCCTTCTATTTACTTTGGGTTTAATCTGCTCTTATTTTCTAATTTCTTAAGGGAGATGCTTTAGATCACTGAATTTAAATCTTTCTTGTTTTTAATATATTTTAATTTCTAGTTTAATTCTGTCCTGATCAGTAAACATACTTTGCATGGTTTCAATTCTTTTACACTACCAAGACTGGTTTTACAGCCCAGAAAGGAGTTTATGTTGGTGCACTGTTCCATGTGCACTTGAAATGAATGAGTATCCTGTTGCTGTTTGACATAAGCGCTCTGCAAACACCAGTTAGGTTGCGTTGGT